GATCAGCCTCCAAGAAAGCTATAATCAGGTATGGAGAAAGTGAAGCAGCCCGTCTTCAAACGTAGAACTTGTGCAAGATATGCTTAAGTCGGCCAATACTAGCTGGGATAGGGAACTTTTTAGTAAGCTTAGCAAACTCCCGAGACGCTCGTAATGAAAAGAAATTAGATCTGACACTTGTCCTAGCCTTGGACAGACGTAGTTTGGACTTAGCACCTCTGGTATGAGAGGGGAGAAGAGTGAAAAGATCACGCCTATCAATCGAAACCTTGCCTGTAAGTATTTTGAACACCATCAACAAATCTAATTTTTTTCGTCGGCATAGAAGAGAATCAAGACCAAGCATCTTGTTCCTGATGACACCTCTTGGTATAGCCTTATAATTAAACCCCAAAGCGCGAATCAAAACCTTCTAGTGAAACTATTTTGAATAGCTTCAAGCCTATAAATGGATTTTTTCGAATGAGGAAAAAAAATCATGGATCCATATTCCAGAATAGAGCGAACGAATGTCTTATAAGCTCTAATAAGAACACAGGGATCCTTAGTGTACAAGCATCTAAAGAGTTGAAAAAGCTTAAATTCAGCTTTCTTCGCAATGGTTAAGCAATGAGATTCAAAGTTCAACTTACTGTCAATTATGAAACCCAAATCTCTGACTTGGTTAACGTTATGCAAGGCAGAGCCTCCTATGTAGTAGTTATTGTAGACCTTCCTAAACGGAGAACTGAAGTTTCGTCCGAGGCCAGGAGGAGTCCCCATAAGTTAGACCACCTAACGACTTCATCGATGGCTACTTGGATTCTGACAGTATCCGCATTGTCAGCTATGGGATTATATATTTTAACATCATCGGCAAACATTTTGCATTTAACTCCTTGTAACTCCACTAGATGCGGAAGGTCATAAGTGTAAATACAGAAGAGTACCGGAGAGAGGACACTCCCCTGTGGAACACCACTGGGAGCCGATCTCACACTGGAAAAGGTTCCCTTAATATGAACTTGAAATGAGCGATACCGAAGAAAGGAGTCAATCCACGAAATTATTCTATGATGAATCCCGACATGTTGAAGCTTTGCTAAAAGCATTGTGTGGTCTACCTTATCGAACGCTTTAGAAAAGTCAAAGTAAATTACATCAACAGCCTTTTTATTGTCCAGAGGTCCCAGTTTGACACAATCATTTGTGTAACTGTAGACTTGCTTTTTCTGAATCCATGCTGGCATTCCGGTAAGATATTGTTGCCTTCCAAATGCTCTACGATGACCCTCTTTAATATTTTTTTCGAATGCTCTGCAGAAGACTGAAGTTATACTAACAGGCTTGGGTTTACGGGGAGGCTTCTTCGAGACAGGAATAACATATGAGCGTCTCCACCTCTCAGGAATCTCAGCGCGGAACAGGCACAAATTGAAAATATATTTGAGAGGACCGATGATAGAGGGTAGGATTCTCTTAACGAAATGGAAAGGAACACCATCGGGGTTAGAGACGAACAAGATTTCCATTTTGAGAGAACATCGAATATTTCTTGATCACTGAACCAATGTGAGTCAAGCATAGAGGTAAAAGATCCGGGCATATCAGTAAATCTCACATGGTCACTGCTGCTCACATAAACCTTTTCAAATATCTCAGCAAAATACTCAGCTTTGTCCCGATCCGAGACCACCGGGGAACCATCAGGTTTAGAGAGAGCAGGCAGCCAATCCTTCCGCTTAAACCTCCGAGCAACATACTTGTAGAGGGCACCCCTACTGCTGTTTTCAATAATGTTCTTTTCGAGCAAGCAGTTGAATTTGTACATTTTTCTCTCAAACCTGTTAGTTGAATTCCTATAAGAATCCCAATCATCAGAGCTGTTAGAAAGAACTGCCCTCTTATATGCTTTAGCCTTCTTATCAAACAACGAATGGAGGTAGTATGGGATTTCGGCCTTGCACAACTTCGTCTTCCGCAGAGGGACGAAAAAATCAATGCATTGATTAAGAACAAAAAGTAGCATTTCATACATCTCGTTCACACTTAGGCCGGAGAACGAACTATACCAATCAATGGAGTCAATAAACGCAGTAATTTTAGTGAGATTAGCTTTTTTGAAATCACGTATAAATACATATTTGTTTTCCTGTACTCTCAGGCGCAAGCCAAAATCTATCACACCATGGTCACTCGTGCCCAAAGGAGGTTCAATCTCAACAGTAGTGATAAAGGAATCATCGTTACAGAATAAAAGGTCTAAAACACTGTCACCTCTTGTTGAAGTCGTAACATACTGATGTAACCTATGAGCAACTACCATATCAAGAAACTTTTGGGATGCGCCAGACACCTGTTCACGACTGGTCCAGTCAATATCTGGGAAATTGAAATCTCCTGTGAGAAGGCAGATGTGCGTACCAGCACACAGGTCACTTATATTTGGGTCAATAAGCATGAAATCTACTGTGGAAAAACAGATTCTCCAGAAATGTAATACTTTTGAGCCATAGCCGAGTGCCCTCTAACCTGAAACTAACTCAAGCCCCTCTGACTCGCTTATTTTGCCATCCCCATTTGTTAGGCTGTGGTACTACAATTAATCCGTCTACATGGACATAAGGCTCTCAGTAGTTCTGATTCAGTGAGGATTGTTAGGTACGTAATTCGGCAATACAATACAACTGAAAATACGTCACGGTAAAGTTTGCACATTGTTAAGTGTGTAATTCGGCAATACAATAGAACTGAAAATACGTCACGGTAGAGTTTGCACAAAGTTATCGGTTCCTGGTTTTTTCCGTCTATTGTTAGGCGAAATTACAATCTGGAACAGATGGCTGTAGGAATGGTTAAAAAATTCGTTTTTCAAGAGACAATGTGCTTTTGCAAAAGAAGCGGTTCACGATTTATGTCGGGCAAGGGATTGAGTATTGCGTGAAACTCCCGTCACGTATAGAACTTAAAGACACATTCCGGGTGAAAGGGAGTCTTTTATGGATGATAGGCTCGTAGCCGCCCAAAGTGTAACACTCCGCCGCTGGAATATGAGCGGTACTGACGGTAAGGCTTCGTAATTCATATTGAGCCGCATTTCTCCGGGCTGTCTGCACCCTTATCCCTCACTCATTTGTTTGGTCTCTCGCAGATGCGCTCAGTATTGCTTCACCTCTTCTTTCCTCGCTTACTTTCCCAACGTTGAAATATCAGAGGCGAAAAGGGAGGTCCTCTGATTGACATCCACTTTTCTCCTGCTTTCTCTTTGCTGATAATTTAGCTAGCCACATATTTTTCCATTTTTGAATCATCCGGTCTTTAAATCATACTACCTGGTTGTTCGTCGCAGATGCGGGGGGGGGCGGGTCAGGGAAGTGGGTTTGGCACTCACGCTTTGGCGCAACCGGTTCTCCTCCAGTAATTGTCGCTTGCACCACTTCAATAATTGGTGGAGAAACTTGCTGGCGCCGAGCCAAACCCAGCCTCTCTGACAAGCCCCAGCATCAGCAGCAAACAAGACTGTACCCACAATTTGCAACTGCAAAATGGGTCTTTAACTCATCGGAGCAGCAATTCAGAAATAAATCAGTCCACCTTACGCTATTTCGTCGATAAACTTGTAAACTTTTTTCTGGTACGTTATATTATAGTGAAGACGTACTAGAGAACACAGCAAAATGTTTCACATCAAATCTGAAAAAAGCAACACACCTTCATCGTGCGACGATGTCCCCATGATTCTTTGTCGAGGGTCATACAATTTTCCCATTTTCGGTCTAGGAGTTTGCCTAAATTCACGTAAACAATCGATGAACTAGAGGAAGAAACCTCAGCTTTGGAAGGCAACATTCAAGAACATCGAACCACGTAAAATCGGTGCGTGGGCTTATCTTCTGCTCACCTGGGTCATAATGATCAGAATAAGTGAGAAAGCCGCCATGCTTTCCCATGGAATCACCACCCCAGCGATCATTCACCACAACGACATCTTTAACGGGACTGAAACAATGTGTGTGTGTTTGAGCTTCACCACTCTCTCGACGCGACTTAATTCAGCGATATATCTGAAGCTTCGTAGGCTCTTACGATGCTTCGCGTCAGCGTACGGCAGTATTTCGAGCGCACGCAAGCACCGGCGACTAACAAAGTATAGTTATCGATCTAGCGTACGACAGCGTATGCCCACACATGCCAGCGACTGGGAATGGGGTATGTGACAAGAGAATCGTGATTCACCGCGCTGGTGGGCGTCGCGTGCGACGTCGCACCGCAAATGACGATGGTTCCAGGTAGTAGATGGCGACAACAGGCAATTCAGAACCGAAAATAGTCATGAATGTCTATGACGGGGTCTACATGAAGTCCGGTGCTCCAATCGACAGGTTAACACGAGTTAAGAAAACGCCGCGCCCATCGCCGCGCGCGATGGGGCGGCAAATTACGATTCTCTTGCCCGTCTTCCCCGGGAATGTACGGATATCGGCTTGGCAAACGCCATCATATGCGAGCATTTTCGCACGCATTAGAGCTTGAGCAAAACGCGTTCGCTAAATTGATATCCATACTTTCGCTGGTCGCCGGCGCACGCTCAAAACACTGCCGTATGCTGGCGCACGCTGAGGCAAAGTATGTAGGCAAACTCCGCCCAACATTAGCTTTGGATAGAAATCAAAGAATTTGTGGTCAACAGGTACTGCTGTTTAGCACGTCAGTTCGCGCTCCAAAAGTCATCACAAGAACGTTGAGCTGTTGTTTACAAATGACCAGGGCTGTTGACCCCACAATCAGAACGGGACTCGAATGCGCCCTTCCCCCACTTGGCTATCCGTTACGCCTACAGGGTCGCTTATAACCTTTCACTCGACAGATTCGTGACAGAGCTTTAGACCACTAATAGTTTAACGTGCTGAGCCTAGCCTCCCCCCCCCCACTCTCCCCTACCCTCCCTGGAGCTAACACTTATTTCCATGGCTATGCGTTCTTGCGATCCTCAGTTCTTGTTGCTATGAACAGAAGATAAATTCGAAGACATATTGCACAGCTCCGTGAGCAATGAGGTCATGACGAGGATTTGTAGGTGCTATTTCATTCCAACAGTGTGAAAAAGAGGAGAAGAGTAAGCTGTCAGAAGCACTCCCTAAAACTCAGCTGATTTTCATTACGATACGAGCGGTGGAAGAGACGCAGAGAAGCTCAAGTGAGGCCAGACGAGGCACGAGCCGCAATACTTCATGGACTTTGATTCTTGCAACGAAAAAGTCGAAAACAACAGACCCTATGCGGCTTCAAAGTTGTGCTCATTCTGAAAGGGAACAAATCTACCTCGTAGGTAATTGTGAAATGCGTCCCTGAGCTAACCCCAGTTTGACTTTTTTTTCATACTTGAATTGCTTGGAGAAAACCACTTCCTAAATCCCCTAGGACGAATTCTGAGCAATTCAGCTAACTGAATCAAGTCTCATTACACTGAGGATTCCACAGGGAGGAAGAAAAAAAATGAAGATTATCAAAGACACCTTGTATTGTACAACCACGCCAGGAATTCTTTACTCTTCCAGTAATCGTCGCTTTTTCCCCAATCACCATCGCTCCATATGACTTCAGGTTTGTATCGATTGACTATTTCAATCATTTGTGGGAAGGAGATTTGCTGGAAAATGTGACGTAGAATATTGCTTCTGGATGCAAAATTATGTGTTGAATTCAAAACTGCGAAGACATACTAAAGTTGCTGGAATTCACTCACATCGACATAAGCTGTTGTGTTGTACTTGTTATCATCAAGAAACATTGGATGAAACCATTCAAATTGTGAGAAATAGAGACCGAAATGAACG